CCGGGTGTCCGAGCGGACCCCGCCCCACAGCCTCCCCAAGAGGGTCGCCTGGTCCCGGCTGCACCCCGGGCCTGACCAGCAGCACCGGGGCCGTGCCGCCGTCAAAGACGTGAATCATTTTCAGATGCTTAAATATTTGGCAGCATTTGTAAAATAATAATCATCATCTGAGAGTGCTTTTTTTTTTTTTTTTTTTTAAGAGAAGAGGTCCATTCCAAGCACAGCTAGCAACCCCAGGTCAGCAGGGTCTCATTTGCTGGCTCACTCCTTCCCGTTCTCCTGCCAACATCGTATTATAGTGCACTCATGTCTGCACTGGCAACGGGCTGCTCCTCGCCTGGGGGACGTCACAGGCGGTGAGAGACACCTCCCGGGCTCTGCTCCGCTCTTAAGGAAGAGCTGCCCCTTCTGGGGGGAGCCCGCAGACCAAAACCCCACTGCAGAAGCATCCAGCTGCTCTGTTTCGTCCCCGTCACAGCTCGGAGCAGCCCGAGGTCATTGCAAGCAGGAAATTCTTCATCGAAAAGCGAAGGTTAAAAGCAGAGGGCCAAGAACGTTGCGGATACGAGAAAGCTCCGTTCCACCAAAATCCGTAAATCAATGATAATTCACCCCGCGTGGGGCCCAAGCCCACAGGTTCCAGGCGGGGACTGAGAACCGGGAGCTCTGCCCCAGACTGTCCCCACCACGTAACTGCCGGTCCCTCACCGGCTCTGCCCGGCCCCGCTCCTGCCGCTGCTCTCACTGCTCTCCTGCCACAAGGGAGGAAAACGTTTCTCCAGCGCAAGACATTGGCTGACAAATGCAAATCTCCGGGCCCTGTTCCTAGGAACTTAATAACAACAGGCTGGAAAACCAGCCACGGGGTGCTAAAAATAAACAAATACTTGGAAAAATTTGGCTCAGTCACATTTCCTCACGTGACGCCTCCTACAAGCAAACATCATCTGCCCCTTGCACAGCACCGAAGAACACTGCACAGAGCCTCGAGGAAAACCGCTCTGGCTTTATTTGCTCCAGCCACAACCCCCGTGCCACCCCCCAAACTCTCGCGCTGCTTTTGTGTTCGAACCCGCACCGTTCGCAGCAAGGACGGAGGGAGCCGAGCGAGATGAAAGCATCCCCCCGGGCTGCGGCGCTGACTTCTGCGCGCCATGGGCTGGCTCCGTCCCTGGCCGCAGCCCCCGGCCCCGAGCCACCCCCAGCACCCCGCCAGCGAGGAAGAAGAGGAAGGGAGGACTTACTCGAGGAATCGTGTGATGTACTCCCGGCTGCAGCGGGACCAGGTGAGCGGGGACGTGTCATACAGGAGCTGTGGAGACATGATGAAAGGTCTTTTCCCAACTGGCTCACAGTCATTGCTGCTTCCATCATGCTGAATCCCAAAACTGTGTAAGAGCACAGTCCCACAAAGGAGAGGTGAGCCGCACGCCGCTACAACCGCGCAGCCTCTCTGCCTTCCAGCACAACGACACGCGACGCCGGACATCGCAAACCGTCCCGGCTCGGCGGGGACTCGGTCATTAACAGGACCGGGGGATCTGGCCATGTGGGACGTTTTAGTGACACCAGGGACACTGCCCCGAACTTTGTCCCATGCTTCTATTTCAGCTTTTTTACTGAAAACTCAGCCGAGAAAAAAGTAATGAGACTACTGAACAAGATGGAGTTAATTAAACGCACTAGGTACGTGGTTTTACCATATAAAGATATCTATTATGAACCGTGAGGCTGAAGTGATCTCGTCAAAATTTAATTGAAATTAGGGCAGGTAAAATTCTGTCACCGATTCTATAAGCAGACCCTATTCTAAAACTTCCTAACGGGCAACCCTCTTCTCCAAAACCTTCAGCATCAGCAACACAGGACAACATCCAAACGCAGTTTGTCCAGGTTGCTTTGGATTACGTGATTTTCATTGAACCTGGGGCAACCAAAAAGCAGGGTGAATTCCCCGGTGCCGAGGAAGGTTTGCAGCAGTGAGGAACCGCTCAGCAATCTTCTCCCAAGTTCCACCCGTGCCTTCGCAAGCCCCGACTGAGCAGCGCAGAGGACAGAGGTCAGAGGGGAGGAGGAGGAAGCCGGTGGTACCTGTGTCCGAGCTCGTGGGCCACAGTGAAGGCCAGGGGCAGTCCCGTGTCCTCGTTGATGTTGCAGCTCCTGTGGGGCTGGCACATCCCCGCCACGTGGGACAGACCCAGGGTCTCGCAGGGTCTGTTCATGGCTGCGCAGATGTCCTTCCTTGGGCGACGGAGACAACGAACACACAGACAGAGAGCAAAGAGGGGGTTTGAGAGCGGCAGGACCCAACGCGAGGCGCGGGAAGGAGCACGAGACACGTCCCAGCCCATGGAGGAAGACACGGACACTGGCCAAACAGAAGCAAGAATGGAGACATCCAACGTCTTTCTGCAATGGAAAGATTTATGACCTTTCCTTTCCCCTTTACTCTCCTGGTATCCCCGGCTTCTTATTAAGCCTGATTAATGGGAACTGCTAGCCAGCCTGGCTACATTTACTCCATTGTATAAATAAAGCTGATGCTGGGGATAATCAAGCAATTACTACATTGCTCGGGGAAGCACATCCCCGGGGGTGCTGTGGTCCAGGGCAAAGGAGCTCCAGCCACCCAGGAAGAACAACTCCACTGAAGTACACGGCCTTAAGTGCCTTATTTCTGCTACAAAGCAAACTTCCTACAGAAGATAAAACTGTTGTGGGTTGTGAATCATCACACAAGCCACCACGCTACTGCCAAGAGCCAAGCTGCTGCACAGCCTGAAACCATTAAACCTTGTTCTGACTGCAAGGTATATAAACTTGGCCAGAAGCAGGAATTCCTGCGGGCTTCATGGGAGGTCACGGGCCTTCTCGGAGGCTCCTCTGCCAACCCCAGCATTAGCCTCCAAGGGAAAAGGAGAGTTAATCCCTCTGTACATCTCCTGGCAGGATCCAGCCGTTCTGGGGCTTGGCAAGCGGGCCGTGGTGAAAACCTGGTTTGGAAACCACAACTGCTAGTTAACTGGGAGCTGTCTCCAGTTTTAAACCTGAGATATGAGACCAGTTCCAGCCATTAGCACCAGGTTATCTTCAGATTTCATGCTACGGATCTTATGTGCAGGTGCCCAGTCAGGGCTCAGGCACGGAGAGGGAGATTTCAACAGCTCCCACCGAGACGTTCCTCTGGCTGCCCACCTGCCCCCCGCCCGCAGACGTGTCTCTAGCTGCCACCGTAGCACCTACAGCACAAAATTCACGTGCGGGCACAATACCTCGTGAGCAGGACTGCGACGTCGTGATGCAGGGGATGGGAATCTCCTTTAACGTTGATGCTCTTCTGCCATTTGCAAAAGCTTCTCAAGGTGTTGTCTGCGTGGTGGGAGATTTTCAGATCCTCCTGCCAACACAATTAAAAGCCTGCTGTCATATTGCTGCCAGATCCGTTTGGGTTTTAGGACGCAGTGGGGAGGGGTCTGATCTCAGACAGATCAGAGTGAGATCGGGAGTAACTGCCATCCAGGTGGAATTGCTCCATATTTATAGGTTGTAGGCTGGGTGGGAATACAGCCCTTTTCTGCTTTCTTTTCATCTGTGATTCAACCGAAACGTTAGCTCATCTGACACCGGGGGTTAAGAAACACTGCGGGAAAATATCCCGTCCTGGCTGATGGAGAAGGCCGCAGCTGGGGAGCCCGTCCGAGTGGCGTCAGGCTCCCTGAGCAGCGGGGACCACAAACAGCCAACAACTCGCTCCCACCGCTACTGGCGGCGATGCTGAGTTATCCTAAATTATTATAAGGATCAGACTGCAGCTCCCCTGACCATGCCGTCCCCTTGACTCCACCAGGGCTGCAGCCCACACAGAAGACAAGACAGCAAGGCACAGGCATCCGCCTTATCTTAGGCAAATTCATCCAGACCATGAAAACAGCAGAAGAGAGAGCTGATGGGCTCCCAAGGCCACCTCCCCCGTGCCCCAGCCCGGCTGCCAGGAGGGCAGCGTGAGTCACCGCGGTTTCTTTTTACCTCTTCGTCCTCCAGCAGGATGAGTCGCACTATGGCGATGTTGATGGGGTTCCCGATGCTGGCGTGGTGGAACAGACCCGCCACCTGCAACATGCAAACGGCAAAGAAATAAAGCCCGAAAGAAAGACTTTGCCCTGCGACACTGCTGCTGGTAAGTACGTCTGCGGGGGAACACGAGCTCCAGGGGAACACGAGCTCCAGGGGAAGCTACTGAAGGTTCTTGACAACATCTCGGCGAGTTCCCCAAAATGAAAGACAAGAGCAGATGCAGACCTGGACTAAAGCCTCGGGAGTGTGAGGGTATCTATTCAAAATTGATATAATCTGTGTAGCACATTGACACTCAACCAGAAATACCCGGGGCAGCACCTCTGCTTTCACTCCCTACAGATGTGTTTAACATCTCAAAGGAAAGCTGTGCTCTCCAGGTGCCTTCGCCAACCCCCAGAGACCCAGGGGTGTTACCGTGAGGTCCTCTGCCCAATCCCACCCTCTCTGGCCATCAACCAAAGCCCTCTTCTGAAATGCAAATAGGTGCTACCGGTGGCAGCAGATGAGTGAGCAGACTACACCAACTCATGCTGACTTATCTGCTTGTTTTACGCCACCAGCAACATCGCCCCAGATTCCCAGTGAAGACCACCACAACCTGGTGCTCCTTCCCTTCGCTGTCCTCAGTGGCACCTTCCCAGGAAAGCCATTCACGTCTCTCCTGCTAACCAGGCCGGTGCCGACATTGGCCCAGACGGCAGCTGCCCCGGAGCGCTCCCAGCTCCGCGTTCGAGGGAGTCTGAGCCAAAGCTCCCAGGTAGGTCCCTGCGGGTCTCTCCTCCTACAAGGAGGTTTCCTCACCACGCAGAAGGCCGTGGGTGGCCCTCGTGCAGGCTTCGGGGTGGTTTCAGCTTCAGCTGTGTCCCCGGGCCCAAGCTGCCTGCAGACCTGCCTGGGGAGAGCCACGGGCAGCACCCACCACCTCCCTTCCCTGGAGCATCCCTGCCCTTGGGGCATCTCCCTGGGAGGCCACGTTATCCCTCCCCACGGCGGGAAGAAGGGAACAGCCCTTGAGCCCATGGGGAAGGTGAAGCCGCGGCATGCTGAGCTGCTCCTGGCTGCACGGAGATTTTGGCCTGGGGCTCGCTGACACCGACCTGTCCTCCCACAGCGGACGGAGCGCTGAGCAATGCAGAAAAGCCACCGCGGGGGTGGGAACAGCCCGTCTGGTGAGAGGTTTGCTGAGGCCCCACCAGGGATGAGTCCTTGGCAAGCCCAGTGGTCTTTATGTCTCATAGCCGTGTCCCCAGGGACCTGGTGGCTTTGCCATTGAGAAGACCAGGACTCACCATGTTCATCACGGTCAGCACGTACTTCTCTATGTTCTCGCTCCCATGGTATTCTATCATCTTGGTGTCTGCCACCACCAGCGTTTCCACCCACTTCTCCTTGCTGATGGAGCGCTGCTTTATCCTTCTCATCCTGCGCTGCTTCTGTTCCCATCTTTCCCTCCGTTTCTCAGACCTCTCCAGGCTTTCCTGAGATTCTGAGGGAACAAAGTGGGAAAAAACTCTTTTTTTTTTTTTTTGGTAAAACATCTGCAACATCGGTAAAATATCATCAAGGCCTTTTTTATTTTAATTCAAAGAAATAACCTTTTGGTGTTGAGAAGGAGGCCCACACGTAGACCCATGACCTATGTGTATTTTGCTGTGCTCTATGTTCCAAAAAATTACTGGGGGGGTGAAGACTGTGACCTCAGGCTGTTGCACAGCAACATTAGCGTGATAGGAAAAAAAAATACAAAATAAAGCATTAAGCATTTGAAGTAATTTCTTTGACTAGAGCAGGGTTTGCAATATTCCAGGAGGAACGTGGACCATCCCAGAGCAGAGCTATTAGGGTTTGTATCGACCTATGAATTTACAGGCAACCCTGCAGAGATGCTTGAGCATGTACCACCGAGAAATACCGGTGGCTCAACATTTCTGATTATCATCATGAATTTGTATTTTGCAGAGGGAGACAGCTCTCCAACAGGACAAACTCCCGAAGCTGGACTGATGTCTTGAGTCAAATGCTGAAGATCATCAGTATCCTGAGCAAGACCGAGATGTTGCAGAACTACACAGAGATTTCCTCGGTCACATGGAGACTGAACTCTGCTCCTTCCCAAGGAGAAACAACGGGAACATTCACTGGGCTGCACAGGGAGAGGAGGAGGAGGAAAGCTCGGATGCTCCTCACGCACACCAGCAACTGGGAATTCTCATGTGGAGACTTTTCCTGTGACGCTGCTCCAAGATCAAGGTCAGGGTCAGCCCCAAGCTGGGTAAAGGCTTTACAAACCACATCCCACTCAGTGGGAATGGCTTTTATGATCAGTTTCTAAGGGCTCAGCCTTACTTTGCTAACAATAGACTTTTACATTTTATGGACTATACTGTACTTTAGCTGAATGATCTCCCCAGCCCGAAAAATCCCAAGCATCTGGATAATTTGATGAATTGCTAATACCACTCTGACAGTTTAATCGCAACAGCTTCCTTGGAGCTTGTTCCCATTGTGTCCTTCGCTGCTAAGCTTCCAGCCGGGACGTGAAGGTACTGCAGAGAAGACGGGCGCAGAGGGCTCCCGGGATCCCAGGGAAGGTTCGCACGGCATTTTCCCCGTGAGACCCCTCTTAAACACTCGCCCAGCTGTACACACAGGCTGCGCCGTGTATTGACAGCAGCTAAATAACACCTGACAGCCTCACGCCAGCTGCCCGCGTGGTGATTTGCAAAGAAAACCTGCTATACATCAGTACCAAACGAAAGGCTTGCAGTAATTAAAATCCTACACACTTTTGGTTTCCTTTCCAGGGCGTACACACCACACGCACTTTGCGAGCCCAGGCTGCAGTGGAGTGATGCGCGTTACACCTGTATTACACCCAGTGAAATTCATTTACAATGAACAGACTTCAAAGTCTGGAAGGAGCCATTATGATTACTACCATAGGTTAAATAATTAATATAGATTAACAGAAAAATGCCTGAAGATAACCTGATTATAGAAAAAAACCCAACCAAACAACAAACCCCAAATTTTCCAAAAGCAGAGAGCTCTAGGAAATATGCAAAACAGGATGCACTGCCTGGAACACGCAGCTTCACTGATGCAGACGAGGAATAAAGCACCCGTGAGCTGCTGGGGATGCACTGAAGCCCTCATTACTCACAGTGTTGGGTTTGGAAGTTTATCCGACCCATCTGCTCCAGAGAGAGGAGAAGGCGCTGGCATGCGCGCTCTGCGCCGCAGCACAGAGACCCCCGGGGCAGCGACCGGGTTTCACTCCAAAAGCCCAATGCCCTGGCAGGTCAGAAACCGGTGTTTGCAAGGAAATCAAAACAAATACTCAAGTCTCCACATCACGGGGCGCTTGCAGCGGGGCCAGGAGGAGAAGATGAGAGTGAGAGGCCTGCGGTTCGGCACGCACTGAGTCATGCATGTGAGAAACATAAGCAAACACAGAAAAATTGGCAGGAGAAAAAAAAACACCCAACCCTGTGCTCTGCAGTGATTCCCGTGACTTGTGGGCTCTGGTCATTAATGCCATAAACCCACCGCCCGGTGCTCGGCGAGCCAGCTCTCCCGAGCAGCCATTTGAATGAGCTCTCCTGCAATGAAAACACCCGTGGGAACGGTTATGTGGGCACCACTGGGGCCACTGGGCTGTCTCCCAGCGAGCAGCTCCCGGCCATCGGACACCCACCCACCGGCGGCATCGCCAGGGGCTGAGGCTTGGACCTGCTCCCTTTATCTTTCCACAATGTGCTTCATACGACTCACAGGACCCAGCTGCTACCGGCTCATCGCAAAAGTGTGAGAGGAAGGGGACCATACCTTGGACGCCACAGGTTTCCCGTGGAGCTGGTGGCCTCCTGCCTTGCTCTGCCCCGTGCTCGGGCGCCTGGCGCTTGTATATCCTGTGGGGCTGCGCTGCTCCGGCCTCCTGAAAGCTGGCGGACACCGGTTCGATGAAATAGTCCTCGTTCATGAGCCGAAACACACCTTTCTGGCAGGGAGAGACAAAGTTGTCACCATGAAGCCATCTGCATTTAGCACAGACCCACACTGAAGAACCTGGGAATGGGAGAGGGTTTGCAAAATCTTCCAGGAAGAAACAGCTGTTCTCTAAAGAAACTGTTTTTATGGGTATTTTTGAGCTCTGAACTCCCAGACAAAAGAGCACAAGCCAGCACGGACTGATCATTAAGAAAGTAAAAAGCCAAAGAGATCCCTTCACAAAGCGAGATGGGCGGTGAACCCAAGGGGTGTCTGACAGTGAGGAGCTCAGGGACCGCAGGGATGCTGAGGCAGAGGAACGCCTTCTCCGGAGAACCGGAGCACACCAGGAATAAGCGTGCGTACGGTCTCAGACTGTGCTCCCTCCTCTGTGCTCGTGCCACCTCTCCACCTCTCTCTGACCTTCCTGGGGATGCTCTGGGCAGTCCAGCGGGACAGCCCAAAGGGCGGCTTTGACCGTAGCGCAGCACCAGCGTTCTGAGCAAGTGCTGCACAAACGGAGGTGTTCACAGAATCACAGAACGGTCAGGGTTGGAAGGGACCTCTGGAGATCATCTAGTCCAATCCCCCGCCAGAGCAGGGGCACCTCCAGCAGTGGCACAGGACGGCGTCCAGGAGGGTTTGGAATGGCTCCAGAGGGGGAGACTCCACCACCTCTCTGGGCAGCCTC